TACGTCAAAAATTACTTCCTTCTATTTTTCAAAAACCACGGTGGCAATTCAAACGTTTCATTCTATATTTTTCCACTGATTTTTCATTTCTTTCTTTTTTTTTTTATAAGATATCCTTTTATCAGCTGTTCTGCGCTTTTTCAACTATACCGTTCCAACTAGCGCATAACAGTGTATCTATACATATATTTCAGACTCAGTGAGAGCAGAAATAAATCAAGTTTTATCGAAGCGTCGCATATATCACGACAAAAGTACATTTGGCAATGTAATTTGAATTATTAGCGGTTGCACGCGAATAAACGAGTATACGAATATTAAAACACATATGATCGTGGACTTTCTGGCTCGGTAATTAATGACAATGATAGCGCTGAATTATTATCCTGGCGTTGATAAAAGGAGACTCTGTTTTGTTTGCAACGTCAGTTTCTATACAAAATAAACATTCTGATAAGGAGAAGATTTACGTCGCATCTTAAATTGCGAGGTAATCTTCGCATAGAGAACATAATCTCAGTAAAGAACGATCTAACACTTATCACGTCTACGATCGGAGTTACTATAGTCCTACATTTTACGGAAAGCTTAGGACGAAATTTACGTATATGCGATTGGTATGTAGTAGTTTGCACGTTATTGCTACAGTGATCTTTGAAGAGAGTAATTTTAAAGAATAGCGAAGAGAAATAATTTTCCGAAAATCATAAGATCGTACATAATCATACGAATCATACATAAAAAATTTTTAGTATTATGTATTCTGAAAAGTTAAATTACATTCTAAACTACAATAATCAGTATTCTAAAATATAGTAACCAGTATTCTAAAATTCTTCTTAACATTATATACACTTATAAACATAAATTACACTCTAAAATATAATAACCAATATTCTAAAATATAATAACCAGTATTTCCAAATATAATAAAATACATATAATATACAGTGTTCTAAAATTTAGTAAACATATAGCATTCCAAAATTTTTTCTCGCATTCTGGAAACTTAAATTACATTCTAAAATACAGTAACCAATATTCTGAAACATAATAACCAGTATTCTGAAATATTTTAAAATATAGTAAAATACTGTGTCCTAAAATTTTTCCTATTATATATTCTTAAATTACACTCCAAAACACAGTAACCTCCAATATAATATACAATTTCATTATTATTTCGACGTATCTCACTGTCAGATTTCAAGTTCTTTCTGTTTCTAAATCCCTCGTCCGCTTTGCAAAAATCGCGCGTTGTCCAGAAAATCCATAAGCCTTCGAATACGTTCGCGTAGGATTCACGTCGTGCAAGGCCGGGTCGCGAAAAGAAAATTGCGGGACGAGCCACCTCGAGGTCAAGTCACCTCGTTATCGAGCTCTTAAAATTTTCAGGATGAGCGGAGGGAGTAAGCCCAAGAAGTACTAGCAGTCGTTAAAGCCGTACTGAAATTTTTAGACCTATCATCAGTCCTCGTCGGTTGATCTGCTTATCCGTGATATATCACTGAAATGCGGGCCAATGTCTCTCCGAAGATTGAACGTTGATCAACGATAACATATTTAAATTTGAGAGAAAAACTCACCGTGTCGCAACGTCATGGAATCTCTTTTTAGTACCGTTTTCCACGATAAAATGTATAAATATATTCGTTTCTGATAAACGATCATTACTTTATGAGATTTTTTTATCAAATTGAAAGATATTTTTCTTTTTTTTTTTTTTTTTTTGAAGTGTTATTTGCCATTAATAGTCACTAGTATTTATATCAAATTGTCATTAAGAACGTATGTAGCTAATCATTTAATCAACGAATATTTCGGTTGATGGTATTTCTCTGTTAAGTGGACTTTCGATTTTAGTTTAATTGGTATTGTTTAATTTCGACCGTTTTAGTCAATTAAAGTACGTTTAATTTATACTCTATTGGGAAATAGAAATTAGAGACATAGTGAAACAACGGAAGATTATATGTATCAGCGTTAAATAATTGTTAATTTAAAATTAGATGAAACGGCAATGATCCACCCAAGAATCAATGTAGAAAAATTTGTCGTGATAACTCTCTGGAAGTAATTTTCAACTAATTTCGTATAGATAAAGTACAAACAAACAATTGTTCACTGCAAATTTCATTTAATTCATTTATTTCTTATCGTCGTAATATAAGTTAGGACCGACGTTTGTCATTCAGATTCAAACGCGTTCCAACCGGGGTGGTTCTCTCGTTCTCTCGTTAAACGAGAGCTTACACGCCGCGCAACATTTTAATGGATTGTGTGACTACGAAGCGCGGTCCTTTAATAAATATTGTTCGTAGAACCGTGTCTACCCACCGTCAGACCTAAATAAACAACCTGGAAATTTAACACGTAATCCGTCGCGATGGAATTATTCCGTACGAGTCGAGTAACTTAGGAACGCCACAGACTGAATTCATACGACGATTAAATGAAATTAACGACACTCGCGAGCTATGATTAAACGACGATTCTGTTAAAAAACGTGAGCCATTAGGGTTTGATATTGTGAAACAACTCTTCTTTCGTTTCGAAGAAAGCCTGGCTTTTCCTTTTCCGGCTTATCATTTATGCAATTCGTACCTTTCTGAAAGCAATTAAAGGAGGAACAGAAGATCTAGAATTAAGAAGCATTTGCTTCTGCAAACTGTCCTTTCTGGTTTAATCGTTGATCCTCTTGGGAAGATCTGTTATATTTTAACACGTTGGTGCGTAATTTTGAAAAATTTAAATGCGACGAGAAATATATGTATACACAACGCACGAAAGTATGTAACGCAAAATATTCACAGCGAAGAAGCTCGTGATATTGATCACAGGATGAAACAACCTTTACTTTAGAAACGCGTGATTATTTCGTGAAAAAATTCTTTTCTAAAAGTTTCCCCAATTATTTTTTACTGATCGAGCATATTCTTCCATAAGGAAGAATGCTTAACGCATAAGCGAGAAATCTTCAAAAAAATCTACTTCCCTCGTTCAGAATTACATTTCATCGTTGCATTTCGCAAGCGTATCGTAACAACTGCAGGTTGTTTGCGGCGTAATAATAATTTGAAAAGTAACCTATCGACCCCAGCTCGGCAACAGACATTCGTTAAACAGAATTAACGGCGTATCGGTGAGTCGTTCCACTCGTAGAAATGATCCTTTTGGTACTTGTAATTGTCAGAGAGTGATCCAATAACCGTGAGGTTCTCGCGGCACTCTGTGGAATTAGAAAGCGTCAGGGTAGATAAGTATAACGGAGCGTTCCGCGTTAAAGGTCGGCCGATGCGACTAATGCAGTCTCTGGAGATAAGGAGAACGAAGATTTCTCTCTTGGCCCGATGCGCTTGTAGCTCGATGACAGTGTTTTGTGTTAACTTCGATATCAAAGATACGGCGTGTGCAGGAAGTTGAGCCAATATTCATGGAAGTTGAGCGATGTTAAACGTAGAAGAACACGCATCCAACGCTCGGCAACAGAGTTTAATTTTCTGTTTAATTCTCTTCGCGAAATTTTCTCGTATACAGGCGGTTAATTAAATTTATGATCACAAACAACGCTCCAACTTGGCAAACTTAGACCGTTGCTGTCGAGTTCAGAGCAATGTTTCGTCCCGGCCGGGTTTCAAGAAAAGAGACGAAAGTTTAACCCCTCGAATCTCGGATTTTTTAAATATATTCCTGAACGTACGGAATTTTGTTTGATACGCAGGGTATAATATTTGGTGAGTCGAATCATTAAGTAGATCGTCAGACCCGAGGTTTCCAATTTCGAGACGGACGAAAAATATTCTAAGCAAGGAAGTCACATCTCGGAACAAAAAGACAGCACGCTCTATTTTCTTATATTATACATCGTATAATAGAGAGACTGCGTAAATTATAACATCAGTATCTTTAGTAGATGTATCTTAGTACAGAGTGGTCACTGAAAGATTGAATAATATAAAAATAAAAATAACTTTTACAAACACATGCTTTTTTAATTTTTTATTATTTTATTTGAAAATATAATTAATGGGTTTTTTTCTGAATTTTTGTGAATTAAAATTCATTTCCTTTTATGAATTTTTCAAACTCTTTAGTTTAGTTTTTCAGTGGTCTTATTACCGAGACTCAATTTCCCAAAGAGACACAAAAACGAAAATGTAAATATTGTAAAGTAGAGAGATTATCACATCGTCAATATCCTTGGGCATGGATTATCCTGCCACGTGTACCATGTCCAACTGGCTTATTACTGAGACACGCAATTCCTCAGAAATACAAAAACCAAAATGTAAATACTGTTCGTAGCCTCGTGGCAGACAGGATCGAACAAGTCCGAATATTTATGCTCCTCAGTCGTACGGAAGCTATCGGAAGCGTAACGTTCGTGTGAAATACGGTCAGTTAAGTGCGCATTAACATTTGTAGAAATGGATCGCGGGAGAAAAATAAATCCAGCTGAAATACACGCGATATTAAAATTGAACGAGGAACGTTATTCTGTGACAAAACTAGCTTAACAACACAGCTAACAGAAGTCGTAAAGTGTTAATGAATTTATTAAAAGATCCCGATAGTTATGGGAAAAGAGAAAGTTGTGAACGACCAGCAGTGTCCAACAGTTCGGGATGAACGTGCTATAATACGTATAGCGTCAAATTCAAGCTCGACTGCGAGACAAATTGCAGAAAAATCTGGAATTACGACGAATGTCAGTAACGTTCGACGTTTTTCGAAGAACTGTGAACATCTAAAACGACGAGAATTGCAACAAAAACCTTGGCGTTTGCAAAGAGCCGTGTTTGTATAAGCCGTGCCGCTTGCAATTTGCAGAGAAACACGTTCATACGAATAAGAAGTAGCGAAGAGTCGTAGTTGCCGATGAAAAGAGATTCAATTTAGACGGACTTGATGATGGCCTCCACTGCTTTTATCGTGTTTTATGCAAAGAGCAACAACTTTTGAATCGTCGACCCATGGAAGGTGGCGGTACAATGATTTGGAGAAGTGTTGGCTACTGCGGTAAGTTGAAAATAAAATTTATTGCAAGGAAATTGAATAATAAAGTGTACATTGAAACGATTGACGAAATTAACATGTGTACGATGCGAATTGCCGGAAATGAGTATATTTTTCAAAGTGAAAACGCGTGATATACTTTGCAAACAAATTCGTGTCTTAGAATGACCAGTCCACTTAAACATTATAGAAAATTATTGGGGGAATTTGGCGCGGGTTGTATATCAGAATGGAAAACAATTCATAAATATTAATGAATTGAAAAAGTGTATTGTGGAGGAATGAGAAGAAGTCAAAAAGTCATTAAGCAACTATATAAATTTGGTCCTGGAAGAATGGTTGTTGTTATTATATTAAATGTAAAGAAGGTCGTACTAGGTATTGAACAATTACCAAACTCGTTACACTCGTTTCTATCCATTTAACCCGTTAAATATTTTCACATTTCTACTTTTTTTCCTTTTATAACAACACAAAATGTATTACGAAAAGTTTAATTTATATTACTTATACTTGTTGATGAAAACACTACGGAAAAAAATGTAAGAAAAATTTTATCATTACAATTATATCATTTGTTTAATAAGAAGAAATTTAATAATTCTCAGAATGTGCTGTCGTTTAGTCAAAAGATTTATACAGGGTGTTTCGTAACTTGTGGAACCCACTTCGAGAGCTGATTGTACGCCTAAAAATCATGAAAAAAAGTCATATAAATATATGTCCTATCTGTCTTCGTTTATGAGACATAATGAATTCTCTGTTTTAATTACTTTTACAAAAGATGCTCGAAATGACCAGCTTGCATTTGAAGACAAGCCTGCACGCGTCTTGTCATTCATCTGGTTACTCTCTCT